TGTGTGTGTGTGTGTGTGTGTGTGTGTGTGTGTGTGTGTGTGTGTGTGTTAGGGTGTGAAAGGTTAAAGCTGACAATTTTTGCAAAAAATGTTATGAGCCAAACCGAATACAAAGGAAAACCTTGAGTGGGGATGTGTGCAAATGAAAGGTTTTCAAGCAGAAACCTGTAACAGGCAAATTGGTATGTAGTGTAATATGAGGTAGAGACTGAAGCTGCCTGTGAATGTTTAACATTAATTTCTAGATATTCAATATAGCCTATATTTGTATGTTACATAGCTATTTAAGCAATAAGAGTCATATGAGGTCATGATACTGAAAATAGGTCATTATCTTAAATGAATCACTTTTTGTATTCCCCATTTGTAAGATTGCTTTGGATAAAAGCTCTGTTAAATTAATGTAAATGTAAATATAAAGAATGTTTCAGCATCCCCTACCACCCCTTTAGTTGTGGCTATGTACACAATATAGTGCCTTAAGGGGATAGTTTACCTCAAAATGAAAACTCACCCCCAAGTTCTTCCAAACTTGTATGAGTTTCTTTCATTTGCACAAGATACTTTTTAGAATGTTGATAACAGTCACTTTTCTGTCACTTAAAAAAAAGTTATGTAAATGTTTGCAGGCAAAGAAGGTCCATTCATTATTATGTGACTGAATGTACTTTCTTATTTGCTTGAATAGCGCATGAATGAAACTGTTAAAAAGCCTTGCAAAAGTACCTGGTGAGTGAAAGAATCTCCACTCTGACCCAGTTCATGCGTTCTCTCTTTAGGGTATATCTCTTTTTATTAGTGACCTCTAAAATCTGGGGGAAAGACTGCTCTGGGTATAGATACATTCATTTTCTAATACTGTACAACCTGTCTTCTGCATGTCATAATACAGATTAATAAGGAGATGAAACTGGAACAGAGAAATTCAGGAAGGTAAGAAAAATATTAACTTAGCTGAATTTTAGAATGGGTTGTGAAGGTCCTTCTCAATATTTAGGTTGGTAACGGACCTGGTTAAATTACACTTTTATGTGTTTTTTATCTATTGAGATAGACATCCTGTCCTCATCACTCATGTGTGGGTCAACATGACATGACAATTTTTTTAGGTCTGGATTCATTCATTAATTCAAAAATACTTTACAAATGCAATTCTTAGATACAATGACATACACCTACTCTCTTAAAATAAGAAAAGGCAAAAAGGTATTTAGCATGTAAAATGGGTGACAACTTTCCTGATACCATACAATGAAGAAAAGATCTCATTAAAATAATTAAATTCCTGAGAAGAATACCTTATCAAATACTTTGGCATAATCTATTATTATTATGTAATATAACAAAAAATACGATTCACTGTTTATTAATATTTGAAAAAACATAATATTATGTGACCAACATGCTGAAGCATGTCTTATGACTGTGTTCAAGGTCAGTAGCTGTTTTAAAACATCAGATAATTTCACCTTTTTGGTGATAAGGCAAGTTTACTTAAAGTTGCAAAAAATACAAAAATTATTGAAGGAGAATTAAAAATTATGTTTTTGAAAGTCAGGTTTTAAAAGTTATATGAAAAGTTATATGTTATGAGAAATGGTCC